TCCTCTTCCTTTCGTGTTGTCTTTTCATCCAGGTTCCCTCTGGGGGGTAAGTCAGGCTGACTTCCCCGACCTCAGGTTGGCAGCGCCACCTTGACCCCTCGTGGGGAGGTTCTCACAGCATCAGCCAGAGGGGACCCCCGGCCATATTGTTATCAGCAGCTCTAACCTACTACTTCTCCTCAGTCCCCTGAGGACCTAGCCCAGTCTCAAGACAGCGCCTCAAGAGTGACTCTCAGCAAGTCAGGAGACTTTTTTCACTTCCTTCTCAAGCAGCTCTTTCTCTACACTCTCAGCCCCTGGGGCAGCGCCTCTCAAAGTGATTCCTCCAGTCAGGGGTTCTTTCTCTTCCCCCTTGAGGGATTTGTTCTCAGTCGTGAGGCAGTGCCTCTCATGTGACTCTCAGGGAGTTACTGGAGTCTTCTTCTACCATTCCTATCCCCTGAGGGCCCAGCTCCAAGTCACAAGGCAGCGCCTCCCCAGTGACTCTCCGCGAGTCAGGGATGTTTATGTTTTCATGCCCCCGGAGGCTGCCGAATCAGCCAACCCAGACGGACCACTTGGGCTCCCAGCGTGGTCTGGGTGCTACTTTCCTGTACTTTACTAACCCCTGCTTCACTATTTGAAATTTTATCTACCAGGAGTTTGTGATTAGGCTTGAATTTCGTCTAAATTGTTTTAAATTTCCATTGTAACACTTCTCTGACCCTCTGAATTTTGCATAATATGTGAGCTTGACATGTTTGCTGACTATTCCAGAATCTAGATCAATGATGTTGCATAAGCAGAGCATCGTAGTACAGATCCCAGTGGTACTCCAATAACTATGTCCCTCTAATTTGAACATTCAGTCTTCATTTGTAGTATTTATGGTATTTAACCAGCTCACAATCCAAATAATACAAATGAATACTTACCAGCGAGGAATTGGAGAATTTTATTTCTTTCCCCATAGGCTTCTAAAACTAAAGTAAACCATGTCGCCTGTTCTGTTTGTACTCATTACTGCAGTTGTATGTACAGTATATACAGTAGAAATTTAGCGAATTATGTAACCAAGGTCTGCCTTTTGTATATCTATGGTGACTCTATCCTAGAATCCTGTTTCCATACAGATGATTCTAAAAGTTACTAACTTTTTATTTAGTGCTGACATTCTCCTTAACTTTTTCTTTTATTTATTCTTGGAATTAACCTGTTCTGTGCATCAAGTAGAATGTCCTTAAAATCAAGGGTGTTTTCTTAGGAATTTCATATCAATCTTCAGATTCTAGTTCTCTTAAACTAATTCACTCATAGTCTCTTTTATGAAATTGTAAGTAAGGTTTGTTTTGGACTCTACTTCTACAGATTCAAAACATACTTCAAATCATGCCATATTATAATTACAGTTCTTTTTGGTTTCCTTACTTAAATTTTTGTAATTCTGCCTGGGTTGTTTGAAAACAGTGGATCAATGCAGGCATTCCCTCTTGTACAGTAGGTGTTCTGAGAAAGAAAGTAATCATTAGCTATGTCTACAATTTCAGCCATAGAAGAGGTTTCCAGTGGACAAAAAGCTGTGGTCTTTTCCAGAACATTATAGTATGTCTGCAGTGATATCCTCTATTTAGAGATTAATATTTGCATTTACAGTATTTCACCTTTGGATAGTGCCGACAGGATATTTGAGAAAACCATTGATTAGGTTTTACTCTTCAGTTTGTTTCCAAGGGCTTTCATATGGAAAGTCTGATGTTTGTGTCTTCAAGTTTCTACAGACATTTGGCACATCTCTTTTGTAAACTTTAGGTTATTTCTGTAAAAGCGTAGAATTTCTCTGCATGTGCAATATTCATATTGAGTTAAGAGAAATTTACTAGAGTAGTTCTTTTGAGATCAGTGGAGAGAATTTTGAGAAGGGAGATATTATGCATTGAAACAAGCTGGAAATTGAATAGACTGAATGTACTGTACAGCATATTGCCTTTTACATTGACTCCCTAGTTTTTCTCACTCACATTGCTTTAAATACCTAATTTCTTTAGCATTTTCTTTAAAAGACTGAGGACTTTCATGAGAATTCAATGATGGTAGCCTTCACATACATAGAGCTAGAACTATTAGTAATGTTTCATTATAAAGTGTTTCTTATATAACACACATGTCTTGTGTGAGGTTGTTCTTTCTCCTGAGATAATGTAGACATGATTTAACTCTTTATTTAATTAATCAGCATTGGAAAAGGAGGAAAAGCATATTATTTCACTTAGAATAAAGTGTTATTAAGAATTTATAATAATTTTTGTGTGCCTTGACCAAGAAAGGTCTCTCTCTAAATGCAGAGGAATGTGTGAAAGAAGCCACTCTGACATGAAACATCGTAAGGCTGTATCAAATCTGAACAGTTTAATGATATACTTTGTATCACAGATGGGCTCCAGCCAGCTTATAGGCTGTTTCTTTGCAAAACTACAAGTCAAAGGTCAATATCTATTATCCAAAGGAAGATATACCAATTAGAAAGTGCAAGGTGAGTACCATAACCAAACCTGACAGAGTCTCAGCCAATTGCCAACTCATGATGTTGTACCTGAAAAGCAAGAACCCAGCTCACTTTGGTTGTTTGGTTAACCTACTGGCTCCTCATATCTCTCCAAATAAACTGACATTTAAAACCACGTGACTGCAAGCAGTCCAAGTCAGGACTTCTCTCTAAGATGCCAGGCCAAGAGAGTGAGTCAGTAAAGTATAGTAATCTGCCCAAGATATTCTTAAATCTTATGTTCATGAACCCACTTTATTTTCACCTCATCAACAAAATAAGACTGTTGGAGTATTTCTTGTCAATATGCAGAATATTTAAGCATATTCTAAACAAAGCTACAGCCAGGATGGACCGAGTTCCTCTTTTGTCTACCATACACCAACTGTTTTTAAAGACGAAAGTTCAGCAATACACTAACAGTGGCTGAACCCCAACACTAGGCAAAGCTTCCTCTCACTTTTCAGTCTGCACTGGGACTCTCCCTGCCCAGTTTTTAGATATTCTATTGAATATACAGTATACTGATGGAAAAAAGAAATGCAACATTTTCTGGAATGAGAATACAATAGTTATAGCTTATGTACTTTCACAAAAAGGTTGTCAATTTGTTTTAAGCCCTGTGACCAGCAATACAGCTTCCACAGTGAGGCATGGCAACTTGCCAATCACACGAAAGCTTGTTAGGTGCACTTTTACCTAACGAGGTCCAGGTGGAACAATGCCTGATCAGTTCACCTTTAAAAGGGCCTTTATTCAAAGCTTAGGTCACTGCAAGAAAAAGGCCACACTTAGTCAGTTTTCTTTACATTCCATAATGGCTTTAATGTCACCAGAAGCAAGGGAGAGGACCACTGGCATTCTTCAGGCAGATATGTCACGTGCCGGCGTTGCCAGACGCCATGGAGTAAGCCGCTCCACTGTGTCCCAACTCTCAGAGACGGTTTCAGCAGACTGGCAGGACAGATGACTGTCCAAAATCCGGTCACCCTCAAGTGACCGCACCAGAGCAGGGCTGACACATCAGACTGGTCCACCTGAGAGATTGTTTCAGATCTGCCACCCATATAGATCTATGCATGCTGTTGGCCTTAGAGCAAGGCGATCTGTCACACCTCCTAGACGTCACACCTGGCTTGGGCCAGACAGAGGCTGCAATGGACTTGTCAGCAGTGGAGTCAGATCCCCTTCACAAATGCCTGTTCAGCCTGCTCCACACAGATGAGAGGGCCAAAGTTTGGAGGAGGAGGTGTTGCCTTTCTTTTTTCTATCAATGCTATCAATACTATTCTGTCTTGCCAGTAGTGCTATAAAGGTCCTCCTGTGTAAACAGAACACTTGTCACTTAACAATTAAAGATTTGCTGTGTCAGAAAATGTAGGTCCATGGGATACTTTTATTATATTTAACATCTGGTCCCTATTAGGAAACATTGCCGGCACAGTTTAATGTCACAATTTCAGAACAGTTTTCTCATTTGGCAATTTACAATAAAATCACGAGCTGCCTTCTTCTTAGTAATGCAAATCATAATCCCCATGCAGATTAAATTATAAAAAGATAACTTGTTCACATTGTGAACTGCAGAGTCGGAAATAATGACATCCCAGAAATGGAGGAAAAGGATGATGGTGTAAGAAATGGAATAAACAAGGAGGTGTGTGTGCTGATTTAATTGGTTATGTATTAACAAAATAAGTAAATGTGGATGTAATTTGTGAAATGCAATAATTTTCAGAGGAATTAACATACATAAACTGATGATAATGGGTTATTAAAATGTAAATCCTCAGAAATTAATCTACTCATTTGTTTAGGGGCTTATTATTGATTTTGGTTATTCAAATACAGTGAGCTTCCTCAATAGACAAAAAAACAAACTTCATGGCAGTGTGCTATTCTTTTCTATAATCCACTCAACAATGTAGCTAGAGTATTTGTTCTCCAGACAACCCCAAGCTCTAGGCTGATTTCTAAATGAAAAACAAATGAAAAAAAAATTGTGGCTAATGTTAATTTTTACAACTGAGTTTTCTCAAATCAGTCTGATTACTCAGATTGTTTATTGTTATTTTAGAGCGCCATGTATTTTTTATCTTAAAATGACATCCCTGAATAGTATGAAATTTGGCCCAAGGAAAGTGCACTTTGTGAATCATGAACTGTTTTTGTGAACTCATTAAGTTGTATAGGGCTGAAAACACCCAACTTTTAAGTGTAATCATTATTTCTTGAAAACAGTAACGTGTTTTTGAAGTATTGATTCAATCTAGACACAGTGTACTTTAGGCACAGTGATTTGTGAAAAATGTCAAAGAATGTTGATTACATTCATTCTTCAAATGTAAGAAGATGAATACAAACTTACGTTTAGTCATTACACATGTCTAATAGGGTACTGCTCATACGTGTCTTTTTTGATATCTACTAAATCATTGTGGAAGAGGCCCTTAATGTCTTCATTTGATTTTTTTGACAGTAGTGTAGCCTGATCCTGTCAGATCACAGACGCTAAGCAGAGCAGACCTTTGTCGTTACTGGAATGGGAGACTCCAAAGGAAACAAAGGTTGCTTCTTCCATGATGTTGGCAAAATGGTAGGTGGTTACTCTTTCCTCTGGAAGAGTATGATGACCCAGGATACTGTACTGCATGAGATGAGATGCTGTCCTTCAGATGAAATGTAAATGAAGTTCCTGGTACAATCTTGCCTGATTTAAGTCCCTCTTAGATAATTCGGTGAAGTTATTTGTTATTCTTCAATTTATCTGCTGGAGTGTGGCTCAAGTGGTGCTGTATGGCAGTGGTGGATACTGTATATCCTCCAATATGCACTTCAAAATTGTTTGGGATGTAAAGTGCAATAAAAGCTTTGTGAACTATCGTTAACACTATGAGATGTGGTAGGCAGATTAGTAAAAACAAACAGGTATTTTTGTTTTGGGTTGTCTAAACAGGGTTATATGCTCGATTTTAAAATGATTCATAAAATCTTATAAAAAAGCTTGACAGAAATTTAAAAGGGGTCCTCTTGATGTGGCTGGCTGGTTCAAATTTGCTTATTTCTGTTATATTCATACTTCATATAGAACTTTAAATTCCCACAATGATGTGGGAGGGCTCACACTCACACAGAGCTAGATTAGATTTAATCATCATGACAATAGAAGAGATGAGTCTGGTCTTTATGATACAGATATCAAAGGGCTTCTTTTGGTTCCATAAACAATCTAGTCAGTTCTTTGCCTTCAAAGTGTTTTGAAGATCAATGAAAAAAAATGAGGCAACCTCCACTTCTCAATGACATTTCATATCTAAGAAAAACAGAAACAGGGTGTCCTTTATCAAAGCACAATGCAAGCAGATGACATTTTTGAAATAGTCATGTTTCCTGCTTGTTTTCAATTGCAGGATTAAAATAATAAACTTTGCACAATGGCATCCACTATATGAGCTCTATGCACTTGTAGTTGTTTTTTTAAAGGAAAGGATAGCTTTATTAGCTATGTGTTGTGTACAGTGTATCCTACAAATGACTTTTATCACATGATATGACAGATTACAGTGAACATTGGCATGGAAGAAAAAAAGAATGACAAGGGGAAAGAATGCAATATTTGTCATTCAGATATAAAAGGGTCACTACTTCAATGCTCTTAGCTCCCTCTTGTCTAAATAATACCCTGCATTTATTCTTCTGTGAGGTAGATTGTTGGTAAGCACAGTATGAAGCCTGACTTCCAATCAAGACTTTGACATGATCAAATTGGAGCGATTGCTGATCATTCTTTGTCTTTGGACAGCAGCACAGGCATGTTCATGAGTTTCTTGTGTTGAGCTACTGTATAGATTAACTTATTTTTTAAATGAAGAATGACCTGGAGAGAAAATTATTTTGATCACCAGTCAGCATGTTCATCTCTGAATTTCAGTATGAAAGATTTTTGAATCTTTGTCCTTCTGCAGTTGCCTCATAGCACTGAGATTTGAAATACAGGTAGTTCTTGGTTTACATGGAGAGAGGGTAAAAGTGTATTCTCCCAATCAGAGGGTTGAACATTTTTGAGCAAAGAAGATTATCAAGAGACCTGATTCAAGTAAACAAAGTCATTAAAGGCATTGTTAACCAGATAGACTTCTTCAGAATCTATTATACACTGAAAGATGCAGCTGAGTACAGGAAACTACAAGGAAATTTCTTTAAAACAGACACTGAAAAACTGCAGGAAGGTGCATTTGAAACTGGGTAAAGGAGACAATTTTACACTATGGTTTGTGAAAGGCTGGAACAGGCTACCTAGCCATGTGTCTGAAGCAACAATTATTACACTTTCACTAAAGGATTGGATGAGATCATTGTGCCAATTAACATCTCACAACCAAATGAGCTAGATGAGCTCAATGGCCTTTCATCTGTGTCTTTTCTTATATTGTTAATCTAGTTACCTATTGCAGAATCTCAATGTCCTTGATATTCATTTACAAGTATGGCTCTAGTTCTCCAGGTTTTTTTGTAGTAGTAATGTACAGTAGATAGTTTTATTAATTAACATTATTTTTGCAATACTTCTCATTCATTTCTTTGCCATCATTGGACTTTTAGCTGATTCAATACTGTAGGTTTGGTGCTTTAAACATGTGCATGTTTTCAGTTTGTATAGTATACTGAAACATTTGAATGCTTCAACAGGAAAATAAATTCCATGTTTTTAAAACCATTTACACACACTTTACAAATCCTCCTAATCGTGACAAATATTGGTCACTGAATGATTTTCCAATAAATTTGAATTCAAAGTCTCAATATGAATCTATTTACAGTAGTTAGAGTGATTTTTAATTATGTCTTTGTAGTCTACAGTATGTCCATACACCTTTCCCCTCTTTTGTTAAGACATATCTGCAAAACACTCTGCATGGTCAGATTTCTTTATTGTATTAAGGCAATAAAAATAATAAATGAAACAGCAAAGAAATCATTACCTAACAGGAATAACATACAGTATGTACAGTATGTACAGTTTTTGTATCTTAGTTTTAGGCATCTAACCTATTACCTTTTTATGTATTAGATGTTAAATCTTTTTATTTCCTTTCAGTCACTTCCGACATTGCTTTTTATACTGTATATTACATATTCAAATGTTACACACATAAGATTGGTTTTTATTGTGAAAAAAATATTTCCACAGATTATTTAATTTGGTTTAAATTCTACTTTTATGATTTTATGATTTTATGTAGCTGTAATTCATTTGCAAAAAAACATTAAAAAGTATAGAAAATGAGTTATAAATTTCTGAAAAAACTTTCTGCGTCTATTGGTTATGACGTTAATTTTCGCATACTTTAATTTGTTTTGATTTAAAAAAAATAGCTTAGATTGTGTTCATTTGTAGTTAGCGGTTTTAAGCACTTCTAATTCTCATTTTAATACTTATAATTCAATTTTGATTTTTTTTTGTGGTTTTTGTTTTTTAATTTTAGATTTTATTTTAACTCCAGTCTTGGCCTCTTGCGGTACCATCTGAATCAAAATCTGTTCAGTTGGTCAGTCTACTGTTATTGAGACATTCCATACATTTCAAATCTCTGCTTTCCTTCTCCTGGCAACATTGGATCCTGGCCTTATCTTGGCTTTATTTGATGCCAATAATAATTCTTATTTAATGTAGTACCTTTCATGACCCTTCTGCTCAGGGTGCTTTACAATAAAACATCTTGAAAGCAAAAACAAGTATCCACATTTTCATACAATAAATTAAACCGAATTAAAAGGTTTTCAGACAGGATTTAAAAGTGCTGACTTCCTTCCAAGATCTTAGACAAACTGCCAGTGCTCAGAGAGATGACTTATTTTAGTTATGATCTGAGCAGCTGAGTTCTGCTGCACATTGAGCATACTCCAATTTGTTAAAACAGTGTAAGACACACGAGCACTGGACAGCAAGCACCATTAGCAGGTCCTAAATGCATGTACAGTGTTAGTTCCATGCATCAGAATGGTAGATTCTTCTTCTACTGCACAACTTTGTTAACTTTAGTTTGACTATTGATGGCACAGGGATCAGTTCAATAATCTTGGTGATATTCAAAGATGTAATAATTAACAATAATTCCTAACACTTATATACAGTAGCACTTTTTCCAGACTCAAAGCGTTTTACAGGTAATGTGGACTCCCCTCCACCACCAGCAATGTGCAGCCCCACCTGGATGAATCGACTGTAGCTATAGTGGGCCAGTACACTCACCACACATCAGCTATCAGTAGGGAGAAGAACAGTTGATGTGATGAAACCAATTCATAGATGGGGATTCTTAGGAGACCTTGATTGGAAAAGCCAAAGGGAAAATTAACAAAGAATTTCAGGGTAACACCAGCTAGCAGTCATATCAGCCTGCAACTCACAACTGGCAACCCATTGAAGCTAAGCAGGTGTGAGCCTGCTCAGTACCTGGATGAGAGACCTCCAGGGAAAACTAAGGTTGCTGCTGGAAGAGGTATTATTGTGTTTGTTAGGGGGCACGAACCCTACAGTCTATGTGGGTCCTAATGCCCCAGCATGGTGAAAGGGACAGTATACTGTTAAAAGGCACCATTCTTCGGATGAGACATAAAACCGTGGTCCTGAGTCTTTGTGGTCATTAAAAATCCCAAGGTGTTTCTCGAAAAGAGTAGGGGTGTTACCTTAGTAGGGGTGATGTGATTTAATCATTTTGTTATGGCTCTGTGGTGTAAGTACAGTATTTCTGTTTGATTAGTAGATTTATTCTGTTTTATTAGTAGTAAAGCCAAAAGTGAGAAGTGGGCTTTACTCAAATGGTTATAATTAAAGCACTGCACTGTAAATGTGCTGCTTTTAACAGACAGGTGAATTGACTGGCAGGAAGGTATTTGAAGAAAGGCTCCTAAACACATCTTCTTAATCATCCTGTTTTATTGTTGACTGGGTTACTTTTCATACTGAGATTAACATTCACAATCTCCTTTACAAAGCATGTATAGTATGAGCTATGGTATAAATGTCATTAACACAGAACTGCCATATCGTATCTATGTCATGCATATCACTATAACTGGGAAATGAAAGATATACTAGAATGCTCAAACGTGCATGCAGACCTGGCAGAATCTAGTAATCACAGCTAAAGGAGTTGACTTCCCATCATTCATATACTTTTATAGAAATGTCTTGTGCTGTGATGTGTAGCACCTTTAAGGCATAAAGCAATCACCTTGACACAAATACATACTGCAGTTGCATACTAATTGTATTTGCGGGTCATCGTGAAATTTTTTTTTTGCAAATCACATCCTGTATATGAATCTCATTAGTCCTAAGTTAGGTGTTTTTTCACAACATATTGCAACAGAAAACTGTAAGAATGGCTCAGTGAAAACTCAACATGAGTACCTCAGCCTTGTTTAATGATCTTAAAATTGAATTAAAACTATTAAATTCCCAACAGTCTTTTTAAAGTGTTTTTAGATTTTTCTTTATTTACATTTGGCTAATTCATTTATTCAGTTTGATTAGTTCTGATCTTGAAAAGACATAGTGTTATATTTTATTAGAGTTATCTATTAAAAGTG